GCAAAAAAATCTAAATATTGAGAAAATCGCCTTTAAAGTTGTCCAAATGAAGTTCTTAGCAATGCATATTACTAATCAGAAATGAAGTTGATACATTTACGGTAGGAAATTTACAAAATATCTTCATGGAACATGATCTTTACCTAACATCCTAATGATTTTTGGCATAAAATAAACTATAATTTTGACCCATACAATGTATTTTTGGCTATTGCTACAAATATACCCCAGCGACTTAAGACTGGTTTTGTGCTCCAGGGTCACATATGTTTTATTTAGTATAGTTTCACAAAGCTAAAGTCAGACCATTCTGTTTTTGTTTCAAATTTCGAAATTATACAATCTAATTTAAATCAAAAACTGATCATGCTGCATGTATGCTGCATCTTTGTTTGGATCGTGATTAAAATGCAGTGGTTGCCTCTAATTTTAAATGAAAAAAGCACAGGCAAAGCCTTAGTTTGTTTACATTTTCATTTATAATTTGTCTTGAATCTCATTTTGTTCAAAAAATTGTGAGAAAATCGTGGCGTGAAATCAGTCTCGTGAATCGTATCGCATCGTGAGTTGAGTGAATCGTTACATCCCTATAGGGCACACACGTTCATGTATCTCATGTATCTTTAAACTCAATATACTGTAGTCTGTGACATTCTAATCTAGTGTACACTAAACCTGGTATTGTGAACTATGAATTGTTGGCTGTACGACAAATTGCTTGTCACGTTCCTTATTTGGATTAAAAAAAAGTTATAAAAGGATAAATGAATAAAATGCCAAATTAAATAAATTAGCGAAGTAAAAATCTGGACAGAAAATAAATACATTACCGATGGGATCAATCCAGATGCCCACGTCGACTGGGCTGATGGACAGCTGCAGAGATTCAGCCGCCTCGTCTCTAATCTGAAGGTCCTGGTGGATCACCTTGGTCAGGAGGGACGCAGCGTTTTGATCACCATCCAGAACTTTAGCCAACAGAGCAGTCGTGTCCTCTTCTTGAGCACATACTGTCACAATTACGCTCTCCCCTGAAAGAAATACAATTCACATCAATTCCAGTCAAATGGTGTTAATTAATTGATTAATACATTGACTACAGCTCTGAGTTTGAGTGTTCTTGGCCATCAGAGATGCATAAACAATTTATGAGAAGCAAAAGCATACCTGCAAATTCCAGATTTGAAAACAAAATTCTAAAAATTTTGTAGAATCGGCAGTCGAAATTTCAGAAAATTCTGAAAACTTCTAGAATGATAAACCACACATTTCAGCCTAATAAATGATTTACTACAGTTACCCTTGTAAACAAAGCACTTATGAACACTACTTTATTAGGCATCATGAGGTCGTAAGATTGCCAGCTTTTCTGAAGACAGTAAGTTCCCTTCAGATATACATTCATATAACCACCTCCCAAATAAAAACTCCTCGGAGCTACACAAATCATGTGAATGGCCTATTTCAATGTCAGAACGGCAAATCTCGTCAAAAGGAGACAAGTTTGCTGGTATGAAAAACAGTGGAAGAAAACCTAAATTGCACATTATTCCCTGGCATCTTCTGAACACCCAAAAACAAACACAAGCATTTCAATCTCATGCTAAGTATTCCTCAGCTCTTCCAATATACTCATAAAATACTCCATAATGATAGCTACAACTTTATTGTAATGCAAATATTTTCCTACCAGGTAACGTGGTAACAACCTAACCACTGGCTTTATCCCATCTGATTTTAAAATTGTTTGCATAACCACAATTCAAATCCTGACATATTCACCGCCTCGACGCAGGCTAAAAGCTACTTGAATCCAAACTTACAGTATCTTCACTGTCCTCACTGTGATTCGTCTGGATCACAAAATCACCCACCGCTGCTATTGTAGAAGATTTTAATTAATCAAAATGTAAATTAATGTGGCCATTTATGTATTAAGTTATTCTACTAATATAATCATGTGTATTTGCCTGCATGTATAGAAAACTGTATGAGAATGGAATGTGCAGACATATGGTGAAGTACATGATAAGCACATGATGGCACATAATGGGGCCCTTATTTTCACAGAACATAAAATTAAGGTATTAACTGAGAAGCGCATCTCTAATCAGTGCTTTTAGACTGCCTATCCTTTTTGATAATTGGACCCATCAAGTGCTGTGGTCATGTTGTGAGCAAGGCCTTAAAAACCCCTGTGAAAAAGAAAAGATCAGAAAGCCATTAATTTGAGTTTAATGTAAACAGGGTCGGTCACTGCAGTTGCCAAGGATTTATTTTCTGCATCTTGCATCCTAATAGGGAATCCCACAGGGCTCTGTACTTGGCCCATCCTATATTGTCTAAAACAGAATGCTTGGCTCCTTTAAGAAATCATACAGTTTCTTACACCTCTGCTTCAAGGACAGCACAGCTCAACATAAAGTACTTCAGCTATGATAAAATTATCTGAATATGCTTTAACCTTTAAACGGTTTTAACGTTTGCATAATTTTATCTGATTTTACTCTTCCATGCAGTCATCAAAAACAACACTTGCCATGCAAAGAAACATGTATTTATGTTGTCACATGATCTACAGCTTTACATATTTCAGTGGAGTTAAAAGTCAAATAACAAGTGCCACAAGAGTGGTGAAAATTTGAATTCAATTGCATACTGAAATCCTTTCAACTGCAGCACAGAATCAAAGCTTCTAAGGGTAACATACCAAGTCCATTCTCAAACTTGTTTGACTCCTCTCCATGAATAAAGCCAGTCAGCTCTGGAAACTATAAAGCAAAAATGGAGAATGTTTAGCCATCAAGATGATAAACTTGACTAAAATGAATTTTGATTTCAGTGAAAGCTTTAAATTTAAGAACCTGGGCACAAACATCATGGCGAATCATTTCCTGTATCAACACATCAGCAAGCGTCTTAAAGTCCTGGACGAATTTCTTGTTTTTGTCAGCTCCTGTCTTTTCCTGTACCAAAAGTTCAAAAAGCGGTGCTTCCTGTCGACAGACCCGTGCCACATTAGCGGCTTTTTCTGCCACGCTCAGGAGCAACCGCAGCAACTCTGCCATACCCGAGGCCTGTGAATCACACATAAACAAGTTCAGCTCTATATATTGGATAGTCAACGGTACAGATTTACAAGTATGTCAGTAACGTTTCAACACACTAAACAGGTCAAATCAAAATCAGGTCAAGTTACAAAAATATTAGCAAACTAAAAAAAGACCCTCATTAACTAAGTGGGACAAAAGGGTAAAGCACCATGATGAATGCCAGAAGAAAAATAACAATATTTCTGCAAATCACAGCTTGACTAGAGTCCTGGGTATCATGGTGATATTTGCAAAGAGCTTTGATACAGGTCATAACCCTGAAGACAAATGTTATGTGAATTTGAACATAGTGAGTGTATTTATTTATCAGTGCACAAATGCATGTAAAATTATATTTTGATTATTTATAGCTAAGTATTAGACAGCTTTGATGAACTTGTATAGACATGTCCCTTGCAGATTCACTTGACCCAACTATCAGAGTCTTACAGAGTTCACATAATCTCTGTGGTTTAGTCCTGACACCAAGGGTCCAACACAAAGAAACAAACACAGACAGAACACATAAACATGTGTACATGAAGAAGCGCAGTCACACACAGAAACACACACACTGCCCACATCTCTGCACAGAATCGAATGCTCCTTATTAGAAGACAGACCTAACAATCAAAGAAAAGACTTGATAATTACAGCTCATACCATTGAAATAAACCTGTAGCGGTTCGGTGTCCTTGAGCTGAAGTTGAGCGCTTCCTGTATGTCACAGTCACAGTGCTGCACTGATCCTCTGTCTGAGAGCGCGCGCACACTTCATCTCTGCTGCCTGACGCCAGCGCATTGTAACGCAGATGCTTTAAGTAACGTAGCGGAAACGCCTCGGAAATGAGAGCATTTCCCTCTCAATGCGTCGAAGTAGGAGGAGTTTGTTCATAAATACCGCCCTCTGCTGGAGTCAAACATACATTTCAGGGCCCGTATTCACAAAACATTGTATCTTACCACTAAGAGTACTCCAAAATAAAGGTAAAAGTTTTTAGCTAAGAGTTTTCTCTTAAAACCTATTCACAAAGCTGCTGAGACAAACGTTTACTAAGGAATAGAGAGAAGTCTTAGGGTTAGTTGTTGTTTTACTCACCCTCGAAGCATCCTAGGTGTATGTGACTTTCTTCTTTCAGACGAATCCAGTCGGGGTTATATTAAAAATTGTCCTGGCCCCACCAAGCCTTTCAACGGGGGTAAGCATGTGTTTGTTGTCAACAGTTCAGAAGACGTTAAATAAAGTGCGCACATCCATAATAAAATGTGCCTCACACGGCTCCCGGGGGGGAGGGTGAATAAAGGCCTCCTGTAGCAAATCCATGCGTTTTTGTAAGATAAATATCCATATTTCAAACGTAATAAACACTTTTTTCTCACTTCCGTTCAGTTTCAATAAAATTAAGCTGTTACAGCCATATCCAAATATCCCCACTTATAACAATGTACTGTAAGTAGGCTAATGCATGCTCAGTGTGTATTATTCTCTCTTCAAGGCCATTTATGACAGGATGGCGAGGAGCTGATCGATCACGCTGCACACTCCCCTGGTTTGAAAGAAGGCAGCACACAATGAAATACACAATGGCCTATTGTCTCATTTGAGTTCTTAATAGCAACCTGTGTGTATATCTATCTATCTATCTGTCTATCTATCATATCTATCTCTCATTATTTATTTACTCAATTCTTAATAAATATTAATATGAAATATTTTACATTAAACAGATTATTTAATTAGATAATTCAAATAAACTCATTTTAATTAAGCTCATTTTTGCCTCACATTGTTTTCTGCTTTCTGCTCTTCACTTAGTTCTGCTTGGCTTTTGGGTTGATGGGAGAGTTGGCAGGACTGATTTTAGACAGGCTAGAAAAAACAAACTCTTGACTGTTTTTTTTTATTTTATATCAGATGGATATTTAATACAGCAACTGAATCCAACAAAATTAAAGTGTGCATGGCAAAATACTTTGAAGCTATTGCAGTAAATAAAAGCATGACTGCTTGAAGTGAAGACAGAACTGTATGAGGTTCTTGAGAAGCTGAGCATAGACGCATTGCTTAGTCATGACTGTGAAGCTTGAGCAACTGCAAAGCCATTCACTGTGTGATAAAACTATCTGAAAAATGATGGTTTCAGTGTCTTTGAGACATTCTGCATGTCATCCTGGTCTCGACAGCATGCCCCATCCTGGACTGAAGCGTCAACCGCCACCAATGCTTCGAACACTCTGCCACATATCCTTACTGAAATGACAGAATCAATGTTGTGTCATGACCTTGAGTCATTATTGTTTATATGTGGTGTAGTTGTGTGTTGTTTCTTGTGTGTGTGTGTGTGTGTTCGAGGTGGGCATTTCCCAAGATAATGCACTGAAGTTATGGGATTACAAATTTAAGAGTCTTAGATCTGCTGAGCCTACGTCCTGATAGACCATCACCTGAAAAATTAAGGTGAAATACATTGTAGCATTTATGGTAAAGATGACATCAGATGAACAATTTGGTTAAACAACGTTTGTAGCAAGAGGTTCCTGCCAGTTCCTGTTCTCTTTATTGTAAGTCAAATGAGCCAGATTACGGAGACTCTTACCTTTTGTCAGTAATGGCTCTTGGTGCCTCTGCCCCAGTCTTTGAATATTTATGCTGATTGAATTAGGATTGGTGTAATGGGGCAGGTTACTATACCTAAATACTTCATTTGCATGCTTTATTTAAGGTCATCTCCCAGGTGCCTTGTCTCCATTTCTAAGCACTGCCCCCTAAATGTATTTAAACTACAATGTATCACTGCCTAAATTAGACTTTTGATGACTGCAGCACTACACAGCAAGTTCTCAATAAAGAGTCCTTGAAATACATTGTAGCATTTATGGTAAAGATGACATCAGATGAACAATTTGGTTAAACAACGTTTGTAGCAAGAGGTTCCTGCCAGTTCCTGTTCTCTTTATTGTAAGTCAAATGAGCCAGATTACGGAGACTCTTACCTTTTGTACTGACAAAATAATGGCTTAAAATAATTTTGTAATGGCTCTTGGTGCCTCTGCCCCAGTCTTTGAATATTTATGCTGATTGAATTAGGATTGGTGTAATGGGGCAGGTTACTATACCTAAATACTTCATTTGCATGCTTTATTTAAGGTCATCTCCCAGGTGCCTTGTCTCCATTTCTAAGCACTGCCCCCTAAATGTATTTAAACTACAATGTATCACTGCCTAAATTAGACTTTTGATGACTGCAGCACTACACAGCAAGTTCTCAATAAAGAGTCCTGCTGAAGATACCCAAGAGTCCTGGTCTTCGCTTTCCAAGAGGCTATGATTGGTTTTCCCTGATTTCCTGCCTTGTCACAAGGACCACCCCAAACACTCGGACTCAACATTTCGTGCCACTCCTGAATTTTGGTCCAGAGAGATTTACAGTTTGCGATTTGTTATAGTTTGTGTACATTTGATTGGTGTCTTTTCTTTCCTTTTTTTTTTTTGAAAATGATTTTTGGATTATGACTTGGATTTTGTTTGCCATCAACTTGTAAACATTTGTCAGATAAGGAAAGTTGGGGGTGTGATGCAGTTTATTTTGTGAATATATCTTTGCCACTTTTTTGTGTTTGTATTCCCTTTGATTTCCATTAATTTCCAGTAAATGTAGAGGTTAATAAGAGGATTGTTTTTGTTTGTTATTTTGGCCGTGTCCGCTCCCTATCTCTCTGCTGTGAAGACTCATTTCATCCTGTCACGGCTAGCCCTAGAGGTCGTAACAGTTGAGTTTGGCCTCATTCAGTGTGTCTGGTGGTCTGTGGGAACATAGCAAAGGTGTGTGCTACTGGCAGCCTTTATTGGGCACTTTGCCTTCTTGTGCCCCTGCTGGCCACATGCATGACATAAAAACAGAGGTCTGTCTTTATCCTGTCTCTCTGAGGTTTGTTGCCATTTGCTACTGTTGTTAACCTTAACTTGTGGCATATGTGTTAAAGGGTCCTATTATGCTTTTTTATACTTTTTTTTAAATTTTCAACTTCCTTTAGTGTGTAATGCTTGTGCATGAAAAACCTGCAAAGATACAAAGCACAAAGTCCACTCCAAACAGAGTTGTTCTCTATATCAGAGGTGTATTCCAGAAAACAAGGTTAACTTACCGTCACATTCACCCTGACCTCTCGGTTTATTCAAGGTATGCCGGTTCCAAAACCACACCTGGGTATAAGTTCATTCAACCCGGAGTATTCTCACAGTGAACACACAAGATATTCTCAACATAACGCCAAATACAAGGAGTCACCATGGAAACGGATGCTAAGAAGTGTGCCATACTTCTTTTTTCTTCTTCTTTTGTTTAATGGCAGAGGCGGACAGTAACTAAGTAAATTTACTTGAGTATTGTACTTAAGTACACTTTTTGAGTATCGTTACTTTACTTGAGTATTATTTTTTCTGGGAACTTATGACTTTAACTTCACTACATTTGAAAGACAAATATTGTACTTTTCACTCCACTACATTTCTATCAAGATCCTCGAAGTAGATTCAGCTCCAACCCTAATTAAAACTCACCTGCCTGTAGCTTTCTAGTAACCCTTCAGACCTTGATTAGCTTGTTCAGGTGTGTTTGATTAGGGTTGAAGCAAAACTCTGCAGGGCTGCGGCTCTCCAGGACCGACGTTCGCCACCCCTGATCTAGGTGTTAGGTGTAGAATTCTGCCATCTGCTAGTTAGAAATAAACCTTAAAAGGATTACAGTTTAGGAAAGAAATTGTTTTGACCAGCAGAGGGCCATAGAGAGCCATTCATTTTACTGGATGTGGCCAACTGCTTCTATCACAACTTTTGTGATACATTTTGTGAATTTATGTTTATATAAACATTAGAAAAGACATTAAAAATAAATATTCTTTCAAATGGTATAATTTTTTTGTGGTTTTTAATGCATTTTGAAATGTCTGTTTTCAAAAAATGCCACAGAAATTAGTCCTAAAGGACAAGACTTAGAGTCAGATTGTCGATGCATATTATTGATTTGAATGAACCAAGTGTAAAAAAAAAAAAAATAAAATAACTTTAGAATGTGGAAGATTTTATTTTTTTGACAAATGAAAAAAAATATATAAATGTTTTCACATTTCCCATTCATTTCAATAAGGGGTCATATTGACCCCAAGAGACAGATTTAAACACGTACACGTAGCAAGGTGTATTTTTTAAAACAGTTAAATTAAGTATACTATTAAGTATTGCAAGTATTACATACAACAATAAAACAGTGCATTGACATAAAAAAGGAAATTACTTAAGTAAAAATCTGTCTTTACATATTTTACTTGTAATGGAGTAATATTTGACCAGCAGTATCTGTACTTTCACTCAAGTAATGGAGTTGAGTACTTTGTCCGCCTCTGTTTAATGGAGAGTTACATTCTTAGGGCATATTGCCATCTAACTGGAACAGAAGTTAAGAACCTGGGCTTCATTCTGGACTGTGAACTTAGTGTTAAGTCTCATATTAATCAAGTGACAAAAACTTGTTTTTATCATTTGAGAAATATTGCCAAGATTCGTCCTTTTTTATCTTTGGATGATGCTAAGAAACTAATTCATGCTTTTATCTTCTCTCATCTTGATTATTGTAATGTTATGTATACTGGCTTGCCTAAGGGTTCTATAATGAATTACAACTGATACAAAATAGAGTAGCCAGAGTACTAATGAAGAGAGCATATTACACCAGTTTTAATGGAGTTGCATTGGTTACCAGTCCATCAAAGAATTGATTTTAAGGTTCTTTTATTGGTTTAAAAACACTGCACAATCTGGCACAGTCTTCTAGCACATTATACGGTAAATCATAAACGATCTGGTGGTACTTCTTTTAGCTATTATGCTCCAAAAATGTGGAATTGTCTACCAACTGAAGTAAAAGAGGCTACCAGCATTCATATTTTTAAAAAGTGGTTCAAGACATATCTTTTTATAGTTGCTTATCAGTATAACAATGGTGTGAAAGTTGTGTGTAAGTCAGTTTTTATGTTTTAATTTATCTTCTGATTCTTTTATCGTTGCTTTATTATTTTATATTGATATTGAGGTCAAACTATATGGTTTATTTTACATTTTGAACCTTTTATAGTTGTTTGAATTTGATTTTATGCTTGTGAAGCTTTGAGTTGCATTTTATGTATGAAAAGTGCTATACAAATAAATGTTTATTATTATTATTATTATTAAACTCACAAGGCTTTTTAGACGCGTACAGAGAATAAACCTTCCATGATGCTGAAGAACTGCAAAGTCAGAGATGATCATCAAAAACAAACAGATGTTTTCTTTGCTGTTGCCATAGTAACTGAGGCAGGGCATTTAAAGAGACACAAGAAAACAGCATGTTTTTGCTTCCAGCCAAGAAGGGGCTTTTACAGCATGGAATAATAAATGATCTGTTTATTTTGAACTGATAGACACTCTGAGACACCTGAGACCACCTTGTAATATTACACACACACACAAACACACACACACACAAACAAACAATGATAATTTCCATAGATTGCCAAGCCCTAAAACACACAAAACAAGCACTCTATATTAATAAAAGAACGCAAATTTGACAGACCTTCATATTTAATTATATGTAATTACATGAAAGTATTTGGGATTTGGTCTGAGTTTCGTTGCGTTCACACAGTTTTGACCAGCAGGCGGTGTTTTGAGCGCTTCGAAACAGTGAATCGTTGTGCTCTGAGGACATTTCCTGTCTAACCCGGAAACGCTTCGAACTCCACAGAAGCCTCCAGTTAGCTTATCCTGATTTAGCATTATCGCTTTATTTTGTTAATCAAATAAAATAATAAAATATCAAGTTATATTTGAATTTGGTCAGAGCGCCAAGATACTCATTCTAAAGGTAAACATACATCGCTTGAATGATCGGTTTTAATGTAAATATGTTGTGGTGGTATCACGGTTGACACAGTAATTGGCGCTGTTAGAGCAGATAAAGCAATTAAATTATAATAATGTGCATCTAATATAGAATTAGGCGATATATTGGAATGTAGTACTGCAGTAGTTCTAAGGTTGTAGCGCCTGCACTGCACATGTATTAATAGTGTTTGTTATTGCTTAGATCTGTTCATGCTCTCCTCTGTCTGCTTCCAGTATTCATGATTCATCGTCTTTCTGAGTGTTGAACAGCTGATCAGGAGATCATGGAGAAAGGTAAGACAGCATGAACAGCAGCGATTGTTGAATTAACAGAGCAACATTAGTTTTTATTTCAAAAAGATTTTTGGTAGCAGTGTTCACACAAAAGGGGTGTTTTCTGTGACCTACGCTATGGGTGAATGAACAGGGTGTTTAGAATAAATAATAGTTATGGTGTGTTCTGATGGATGACATGATGTGTTGCAGATGTGAAGGCCGTGGCTGCAGAAGCGTCGGTCGGGCCTATGGCTTCACAGAGCCGATCAGAGGATGAGGAGTCCACTGCTGTGAAGAGGACAGCCGCTCAGGCCTTCAGTGGAGCCGGGATGATTCCCAAGCGCAGAAGCTCCTCCAGGTGAAGAGTAGTCCTCTGTTACCATAGCAGCCATCTGGTTCACTGTGGTACTTTACATTTGTCTAAAAAGTGTCAAATCATTATATTTTAGATCAATAAAGAGAAAGAAGTTTGATGATGAACTGGTTGAGAGTAGCCTTGCGAAATCTACCAGTCGGGTCAAAGGTCAGCCGGTCATTGAGCCAATCAGATGCCCCGGCAGTGACCTCGCATCCAGTGACAAGAAGAAGGTAATGAAGGTTATTGGATTTTATTTCACAAATCTTTGGAATATTTGATTGTGGTGAATCTTACCTCTTATTTTCTGGTCAAGCAGAAATATCAAAATAATAAGAACCATTATTAATAATTGAGGACCAATAATAATAAAATGAGCTCCAAATCAGCATATTAGAATGATTTCTGACAGACTGTGTGAAAATTCACCTTTGCCATTACAAGAATAGACTACATTTTAAAATGTATTCAAATAGAAAGCAGTTCTAAGTTGTAATGCTATTTCAAAATACTACTGTATTTTTGACCAAATAAATGCAGCCTTGATGAACATTTGAGACTTCTTTCAAAAGCATTGAAAAAAATCTACTTTTAAACAGCAAATTTTAAGCAACAAATTGTCTGCATTGCTAAAATAATGTGTCTTGTGTCATTTTAACTCGTATGTATTTCTTATTGTTTTTTAATGTTGTATTTACTTTTTAATATCTTTTCTCTATTTACATACATGCAATGCAATCATTACATGTTTACATATCAGGATGGTTATAATCAAGGAACTTTGCTGCCGTACCATGGGTGCAGCAGGCGCAATGATATTACGCAGCGCCTGAAAATAGGCTTACTTCCGCCAACATAACCAACGTGACCACCTGCTTGAGCTGTCCGATTTGGCTGAATTGTTTAGAGATGAATTGAACTGGAGTACATATACTTTCTGTTCAGACCACAGATCTCACGTCAGTTCATCTGGGGGTGAAATTCAGCTGTCGCTTCACACTGCGGGAGATTCAGGAACGCTGGTACGCTCTGCTGTATGACCCGGTCATATCAAAGTGAGTTTCTGACCAAATCATCCTTCCAATTTAGTTATTGTTCCTGTTTTAATCTGTTAGGAAAGTGAAATGAAAAAAAAAAAAACTGTCTTCACCCTCATGTCATTCTGAACCCCAATGACTTCCACAGAATACAGAAGGACAACATTTCAAGAATGTATGCCATGTTCATTGCATAATAGTATCATTAAAGTTATACCTCTTGCCCTACATACCAAGTTCTCTAAGCTATTCATTCATTCAGCTCATGGCGATAGATAACCAGGGACTATTTTTCAGCTGATATTTGGCTTTTTTTTATTTATTTTTTTATTATTGTATCCACCTATGCGTTTGTTTGGTCAGTTAGTGTTGGAAGCGAGACTATTGTTTTGACAGTGCTGAGAAGCCCCAAGGCACATCTGCATTTCATTAGTTATTGTTCCTGTTTTAATCTGTTAGGAAAGTGAAATGAAAAAAAAAAACTGTCTTCACCCTCATGTCATTCTGAACCCCAATGACTTCCACAGAACACAGAAGGACAACATTTCAAGAATGTATGCCATGTTCATTGCATAATAGTATCATTAAAGTTATACCTCTTGCCCTACATACCAAGTTCTCTAAGCTATTCATTCATTCAGCTCATGGCGATAGATCACCAGGGACTATTTTTCAGCTGATATTTGGCTTTTTTAAATAAATTTTTTTATTATTGTATCCACCTATGCGTTTGTTTGGTCAGTTAGTGTTGGAAGCGAGACTATTGTTTTGACAGTGCTGAGAAGCCCCAAGGCACATCTGCATTTCAGGCTCCCATTCCCTATCTACTTCTTAAGTAGTTACCTCTCTTTAACCATTCTGTCGAATTATAAAGATAAACACTTTAATAATTGATCATGTTCCATTTTCAGTTATGCTCATACGCTCTGCCAATATGCAATTATGTCTTTTAAACAAGTCTTAGAATATCTAATAAAAGTTTGATTCCATGTAGGGCTGTCAAAATGGCTGAAAAACTAAATTCGAATTTTGTACTTAAATATGATCAATATTCGAATTGTATTCGAATTTAAAATGCACAATTTCAGTTAGGGGGGAAAAAAGCTTTTGGCTTCTCTCCTGAGGCCACAAGAGGGCGCATCGGACCAGGGTTGGGAACCACTGGTTTAATTCAAAGGACCGAAAACCAATCACAAAGAGTACTTTATTCATGTAAAAACATGAGATACAGTTGGATGGGGAAAAACCGCCATAACGTCTTAAGGCATGTTTTTAAAAAGTTGAACTTACATTAATTTTCCATGGCTTTCTAAACATGCCGCTCTCTTGTGCGAGATGCGAGTGCAACGGTGATAGACGTCCCTCTAGAAAATGTGATAAATATGCATTCTGTGTGAACGGCTTGGTTTCAGTTTTGACGTAAACAACATAATCCCCGCATTGATGTTCTTTTTTCCCGCAATATTTTGAATGAACAACGTAGCAGCGCCGCATCTAGTGGTTTCAACTGGATAGACTAACAAAAACATTAAAATGTTATGACACTTACATTCTCATCGCATCTCGTGCACCACTGATAAGGCTGCCTGACGCACACCTAAAATTCGAATGCAACGTTTTTGCATTCGAATGTGGATTTTTATTTTAAATTCGACAAATATTCGAAATTCGAATTTATTTTCGACAGCCCTAAAACCTTATATAATTAAAGTTGCTTAAACAATTAGAAACAAAACAGCATCATGCATGTATGTATAGTTTAATACAAAGGACCGAAAACCAATCACAAAGAGTACTTTCTTCATGTAAAAACATGAGATGCAGTTGGATGGGGAAAAACCGCCATAACGTCTTGAGGCATGTTTTTAAAAAGTTGAACTTACATTAATTTTCCATGGCTTTCTAAACATGCCGCTCTCTTGTGCGAGATGCGAGTGCAACGGTGATAGACGTCCCTCTAGAAAATGTGATAAATATGCGTTCTGTGTGAACGGCTTGGTTTCAGTTTTGATGTAAACAACATAATCTCCGCATTGATGTTCTTTTTTCCGGCAATATTTTGAATGAACAACGTAGCAGCGCCGCATCTAGTGGTTTCAACTGGATTCCATGAACCTCAAACTCTTAGCTACAGTTTTTTCCTTATTCATGTTTTGCGGGGGAAAAAAAGTATTATAATAAGATTACAACAGAGCCAAGGAGAAGTTGATATCTGAAATATAAGTCTGTGTGTTTTAACAGATTTCTGCTTTTAAATTGATTAATATTTAAGAGAAAACAGTCCTTTTTACTATTACCTTAACATAGGATCTGAATGTATGTTTTTCTGTGGGTTTTGTCTGTTCCTCAGGTTGGCGTGGCAGGCCATGAGACAGCTGCATCCAGAGGCCATCGCTGCTATTCAGAGTAAAGCTCTCTTCAGTCAGACAGAAGAAGCCCTGCTCGCTAAGATCACCTCAGTGAGAAATCAGCATTTTGATGACATGTTACAATGAATGCTTTCTAGGTTTTATTGTTGCTGTTGTTATTTTAAATGTAATCGCTGTACTGTTCATCCTTGCTTCATGTTTGTGAGTAGAGCAGTCAGCCTAAGCTGGAGGTTTTTCAAGATTTGCTCAACAAGCACCCGAATGTGTTTTACCCATCACGCACTGCTAAGAATCTGATGGTCCACTGGCAGCTGCTCAAGCAGTACTATCTGCTGGAGGATCAGAGCGGTGAGATACGTCATACGTCACTACAGTCCGGTGCTCCTGCATGTGTTGATCGCCGTCATTTTCATCTGATGTGTTTCTAGTTCAACCTCTGCCTAAAGGAGAGCAAGTGCTGAACTTCTCTGATGCGGAGCAGGTGGTTGATGATGCCAAACTCAAGTAAGGAAACCGTTTTTCATCTTACCCAACACTATGAGTAAATTGACAAATAATACTGCACAATAACACTTAGTCCTGCAGTGTGACTAAAAAATCTTTTATTTATATCAGTTTTTATACAACAACAAAAAAAGCAGATCAAATTGAAATCTCACGTAAATTCTGTTAAGTTTAGCTTGTGTACTATAATGTAACCTATGTGTTACTTTAAACGACAAATGAACTTTTAAAAGTGAATTCAAGTTTAATATTTTTAGTCATGCTGCAGCACACTGTTCGAAATGTCACTCACTATGTGTACATGCACATTAGAAAACGGTTTATTGTGAGAGAGCTTGTTTTCATGCATATATGTGACCCTGGAGCACAAAAGCAGTCGTAAGTAGCACAGGTATATTTGTAGCAATAGCCCAAAATACATTGAACGGGTCAAAATTATCGATCTTTCTTTTATGCCAAAAATCATTAGGGTATTAAGTAAAGATCATGTTTCCATGAAGATATTTAGTAAATTTCCTACCGTAAATATATCATATCTTAATTTTTGATTAGTAATATGCATTGCTAAGGACTTCATTTGGACAACTTTAAAGGCGATTTTCTAAATATTTTGATTTTTTTTGCACCCTCAGAT